TCCCAGTGTCTCTCTCTCCCCGTGTCTCTCTCTCACCCCGTGTCTCTCCCTGTGTCTCTCTCCATCTCTCCCAGTGTCTCTCTCTCCCTGTGTCTCTCTCTCTCCCAGTGTCTCTCTCTCCCCGTGTCTCTCTCTCCCCGTGTCTCTCTCCCCGTCTCTCTCCCAATGTCTCTCTCTCCCCGTATCTCACCACCACCGTCACCACCCACCCCCAACCACGTGCTGCACCTGAGCAGGTAGGCGGAGTATGGCCGCACTCGCTCCACGCCCGTGAGGAGGCTCGTGTCTCTCTCCCCGTGTCTCTCTCCATCTCTCCCCGTGTCTCTCTCTCCCCGTGTCTCTCTCTCACCCCGTGTCTCTCTCTCCATCTCTCCCAGTGTCTCTCTCTCTCCGTGTCTCTCTCTCCGTGTCTCTCTCTCCGTGTCTCTCTCTCCCAATGTCTCTCTCTCCCAATGTCTCTCTCTCCCCGTGTCTCTCTCTCCCCGTGTCTCTCTCTCCCCGTGTCTCTCCCCGGCTCTCCCAGAGTCTCTCTCTCCCCGTGTCTCTCCCAGTGTCTCTCTCTCCCCGTGTCTCTCTCTCCCCGTGTCTCTCTCCATCTCTCCCCGTGTCTCTCTCTCCCCGTGTCTCTCTCTCACCCCGTGTCTCTCTCTCCATCTCTCCCAGTGTCTCTCTCTCTCCGTGTCTCTCTCTCCGTGTCTCTCTCTCCGTGTCTCTCTCTCCCCGTGTCTCTCTCTCCCAATGTCTCTCTCTCCCAGTGTCTCTCTCTCCCCGTCTCTCTCCCAGTGTCTCTCTATCTCCCCGCGTCTCTCCACCACCACCCACCCCACCCTCTGCACCTGAGCAGGTAGGCGGAGTATGGCCGCACTCGCTCCACGCCCGTGAGGAGGCTCGTGTCTCTCTCTCAGTGTGTCTCTCCATCTCTCCCCGTGTCTCTCTCTCCCCGTGTCTCTCTCTCTCTCTCCCCGTGTCTCTCTCAGTGTCTCTCTCTCCCCGTGTCTCTCTCTCCCCGTGTCTCTCTCACCCCGTGTCTCTCTCTCCATCTCTCGCAGAGTCTCTCTCTCCCCGTGTCTCTCTCTCCCCGTGTCTCTCTCCCCGTGTCTCTCTCCCCGTGTCTCTCTCTCTCCCCGCGTCTCTCTCTCCATCTCTCCCAGTGTCTCTCTCTCCCCGCGTCTCTCTCTCCCCGTGTCTCTCCACCACCACCCACCCCAACCACGTGCTGCACCTGAGCAGGTAGGCGGAGTATGGCCGCACTCGCTCCACGCCCGTGAGGAGGCTCGTGTCTCTCTCTCAGTGTGTCTCTCCATCTCTCCCCGTGTCTCTCTCTCCCCGTGTCTCTCTTTCCCCGTGTCTCTCTCTCAGTGTCTCTCTCTCAACGTGTCTCTCTCTCCATCTCTCCCAGTGTCTCTCTCTCTCAGTGTCTCTCTCTCCCCGTGTCTCTCTCTCCCCGCGTCTCTCTCTCTCCCTGTGTCTCTCTCTCCCTGTGTCTCTCTCTCCCTGTGTCTCTCTCTCCCTGTGTCTCTCTCTCCCTGTGTCTCTCTCACCCCGTGTCTCTCTCTCCATCTCTCGCAGAGTCTCTCTCTCCCCGTGTCTCTCTCTCTCTCTCCCCGTGTCTCTCCCAATGTCTCTCTCTCCCCGTGTCTCTCTCTCTCAGTGTCTCTCCACCACCCACCACCCACCACCACCACCACGTGCTGCACCTGAGCAGGTAGGCGGAGTATGGCCGCACTCGCTCCACGCCCGTGAGGAGGCTCGTGTCTCTCTCCCCGTGTCTCTCTCCCCGTGTCTCTCTCCATCTCTCCCCGTGTCTCTCTCTCCCCGTGTCTCTCTCTCACCCCGTGTCTCTCTCTCCATCTCTCCCAGTGTCTCTCTCTCTCCGTGTCTCTCTCCCCGTGTCTCTCTCTCCCCGTGTCTCTCTCTCCCCATGTCTCTCTCCATCTCTCCCCGTGTCTCTCTCTCCCAATGTCTCTCTCTCCCCGTGTCTCTCCACCACCCACCACCACCCACCCACCACCACCCCCCACCCACCACCACCCCCCACCCACCACCACCCCCCACCCACCACCACCCCCCACCAACCACCACCCCCCACCCACCACCACCCCCCACCCACCACCACCCCCCACCCACCACCACCCCCCACCCACCACCACCCCCCACCCACCACCACCCCCCACCCACCACCACCCCCCCACCCACCACCACCCCCCACCCACCACCACCCCCCACCCACCACCACCCCCCACCCACCACCACCCCCCACCCACCACCACCCCCCACCCACCACCACCCCCCACCCACCACCACCACCACCCACCACCACCACCCACCACCACCACCACCACCCTCTGCACCTGAGCAGGTAGGCGGAGTATGGCCGCACTTGCTCCACGCCCGTGAGGAGGCTCGTGTCTCTCTCCCCGTGTCTCTCTCCATCTCTCCCCGTGTCTCTCTCTCCCCGTGTCTCTCTCTCACCCCGTGTCTCTCTCTCCATCTCTCCCAGTGTCTCTCTCTCTCCGTGTCTCTCTCTCCGTGTCTCTCTCTCCGTGTCTCTCTCTCCCAATGTCTCTCTCTCCCAATGTCTCTCTCTCCCCGTGTCTCTCTCTCCCCGTGTCTCTCTCTCCCCGTGTCTCTCCCCGGCTCTCCCAGAGTCTCTCTCTCCCAATGTCTCTCTCTCCCCGTGTCTCTCCACCACCCACCACCCCCCACCCACCACCACCCCCCACCCACCACCACCCCCCACCCACCACCACCACCCACCCACCACCACCACCCACCCACCACCACCACCCACCCACCACCACCACCCACCACCACCACCCACCACCACCACCCACCACCACCACCCACCACCACCACCACCCTCTGCACCTGAGCAGGTAGGCGGAGTATGGCCGCACTCGCTCCACGCCCGTGACGAGGCTCGTGTCTCTCTCTCAGTGTCTCTCTCTCCGTGTCTCTCTCTCCGTGTGTCTCTCTCCCCGTGTCTCTCTCCCCGTGTCTCTCTCCCCGTGTCTCTCTCTCCCCGTGTCTCTCTCTCAGTGTCTCTCTCTCCCTGTGTCTCTCTCCATCTCTCCCAGAGTCTCTCTCTCCCCGTGTCTCTCTCTCCCAATGTCTCTCTCTCCCCGTGTCTCTCTCTCTCAGTGTCTCTCTCCCCGTCTCTCTCTCTCCCCGCGTCTCTCCACCACCCACCCCACCCTCTGCACCTGAGCAGGTAGGCGGAGTATGGCCGCACTCGCTCCACGCCCGTGAGGAGGCTCGTGTCTCTCTCTCAGTGTCTCTCTCCATCTCTCCCAGTGTCTCTCTCTCTCAGTGTCTCTCTTTCCCAGTGTCTCTCTCTCCCAGTGTGTCTCTCTCCCAGTGTCTCTCTCCCCGTGTCTCTCTCTCCCCGTGTCTCTCTCTCAGTGTCTCTCTCTCCCCGTGTCTCTCTCTCCCCGTGTCTCTCTCTCCCCGTGTCTCTCTCTCCCCGTGTCTCTCTCTCCCCGTGTCTCTCTCTCCCAGTGTCTCTCTCTCCCAGTGTCTCTCTCTCCCCGCGTCTCTCTCTCCCCGTGTCTCTCTCTCAGTGTCTCTCTCTCAGTGTCTCTCTCTCCCCGTGTCTCTCCCCGTCTCTCCGCGTGTCTCTCCACCACCCACCACCCACCACCACCACGTGCTGCACCTGAGCAGGTAGGCGGAGTATGGCCGCACTCGCTCCACGCCCGTGAGGAGGCTCGTGTCTCTCTCTCCGTGTGTCTCTCTCTCAGTGTCTCTCTCTCCCCGTGTCTCTCTCTCCCCGTGTCTCTCTCCATCTCTCCCCCAATGTCTCTCTCTCCCCGTCTCTCTCTCAGTGTCTCTCTCTCCCAGTGTGTCTCTCTCCCAGTGTCTCTCTCCCCGTGTCTCTCTCTCAGTGTCTCTCTCTCCCAGTGTCTCTCTCTCCCAGTGTCTCTCTCCATCTCTCCCCCAATGTCTCTCTCTCCATCTCTCCCAGTGTCTCTCTCTCTCCGTGTCTCTCTCTCAGTGTCTCTCTCTCAGTGTCTCTCTCCATCTCTCCCCGTGTCTCTCTCTCCCCGTGTCTCTCCCCGGCTCTCCCAGAGTCTCTCTCTCCCCGTGTCTCTCTCTCCCCGCGTCTCTCTCTCCCCGTGTCTCTCTCAGTGTCTCTCTCTCCCCGTGTCTCTCTCTCCCCGTGTCTCTCTCTCCCCGTGTCTCTCCACCACCCACCACCCCCCACCCACCACCACCACCACCACCACCACCCACCACCACCACCCACCACCACCACCCACCACCACCACCACCCACCACCACCACACACCACAACCACCCACAACCACCACCACCACCCACCACCACCACCCACCACCACCACCCTCCCACCACCACCCACCCACCACCACCACCACCCACCACCACCACCACCACCCACCACCACCACCACCCACCACCACCACCACCCACCACCACCACCACCCACCACCACCACCACCCACCACCACCACCCACCACCACCACCACCACCCTCTGCACCTGAGCAGGTAGGCGGAGTATGGCCGCACTTGCTCCACGCCCGTGAGGAGGCTCGTGTCTCTCTCAGTGTCTCTCTCTCAGTGTCTCTCTCTCCCCGTGTCTCTCTCACCCCGTGTCTCTCTCTCAGTGTCTCTCTCTCAGTGTCTCTCTCTCCCCGTCTCTCCGCGTGTCTCTCCACCACCACCACCCACCCACCACCACCACCACCACCACCCACCACCACCACCACCACCCACCCACCACCACCACCACGTGCTGCACCTGAGCAGGTAGGCGGAGTATGGCCGCACTCGCTCCACGCCCGTGACGAGGCTCGTGTCTCTCTCCCCGTGTCTCTCTCTCAGTGTCTCTCTCTCCGTGTGTCTCTCTCCCCCGTGTCTCTCTCTCCCCGTGTCTCTCTCTCTCAGTGTCTCTCTCTCAGTGTCTCTCTCCCCGTGTCTCTCTCTCAGTGTCTCTCTCTCTCCCCGCGTCTCTCCACCACCCCCAACCACGTGCTGCACCTGAGCAGGTAGGCGGAGTATGGCCGCACTCGCTCCACGCCCGTGACGAGGCCCGTTGCCGGCCGGGCGAAGACGTCCACGAGGCCGATGACGGAGAGGAGGAACGCCGCCTTGGGGTCCGGCGTGCCCAGGTGCCTGGCGTAGCTCACCACGAAGACGGGCGGCACGAACAGGCCCAGCACCATGAGCGTGGCCGACACCGCATAGACCACGAAGCCGCGGTGGCGGATCACGGAGAGGTCGATCAGCGGGCGGTGGCGGCGTCGGGGAGGTGGTGGTGCTGGTGGTGGTGGAGCGGTGGTGGTGGTGGTGGTGGAGGTGGTGGTGGTGGTGGCGTCTGGTGCCGTGGGGAGAGGGGAGAGAGAGAGACACGGGGAGGGAGAGAGACACGGGGAGAGAGAGACATGGGGAGAGAGAGACACGGGGAGAGACGGGGAGAGACGGGGAGAGAGAGACACGGGGAGAGAGAGACACACGGAGAGAGAGACACGGTGAGAGAGAGAGACATGGGGAGAGACAGGAGAGACGGGGAGAGAGAGACATGGGGGAGAGAGAGACACGGGGAGAGACGGGAGAGACGGGGAGAGTGAGACACGGGGGGAGAGAGACACGGGGGGAGAGAGACACGGGGAGAGAGAGACACGGGGAGAGAGAGACACGGGGAGAGAGAGACACGGGGAGAGAGAGACACGGGGAGGGAGAGACACGGGGAGAGAGAGACACGGTGGAGAGAGACGGGGAGAGAGAGACACGGGGAGAGAGACATGTGGAGAGAGAGACACGGGGAGACACGGGGAGAGACGGGGAGAGAGAGACACGGGGGGAGACACGGGGGGAGAGAGACACAGGAGAGAGAGACACGGGGAGACACGAGGAGAGAGAGACACACAGGGGGGAGACACGGGGAGAGAGAGACGGGGGAGAGAGAGACACGGGGAGAGACGGGGAGAGATGGGGAGAGAGAGACGGGGGAGAGAGAGACACGGGGAGAGACGGGGAGAGAGAGACACGGGGAGACACGGGGAGAGACGGGGAGAGAGAGACACGGGTGGAGACACGGGGGGAGAGAGACACAGGAGAGAGAGAGACACGGGGAGACACGGGGAGACACGAGGAGAGAGAGACACGGGGAGAGAGAGACACGGGAGAGAGACACACAGGGGGCAGACACGAGGAGAGAGAGACACGGGGAGAGAGAGACACGGGAGAGAGACACGGGGAGAGACGGGGAGAGAGAGACACGGGGGGGAGACACGTGGAGAGAGAGACACGGGAGAGAGAGACATGGTGGAGAGAGAGACGCGGGGAGAGAGACACGGGGGGAGAGACACGGGGAGAGAGACACGGGGAGAGAGGCCGATATGAGTCAGATGCCTTCTGTGACCTCCTGTCACAGGTGCTGGCTAAAGTGGCCCCTAGGGATAGAGTCATCATGTTGGGTGACTTCAATGCCCGAGTTGGTCATGATGCTGGCACCTGGTCTGGAGCGATTGGAGGGCATGGGCCAGATCAGCTCAATAACAACGGTAGGAGGCTGCTAGATTTTTGTGCAGCCCATGGGCTTGTAATTACCAACACGCTGTTCCGGCATCGGCGCATCCACACAACATCATGGACGCATGCCGGGTCCAAGCAAGAACATCTGCTGGACTACATAGTGACGGACCAGCGGATGCGAGCCCATGTCCTTGACACCACGACCTACCGTGGAGCTGATCTGCCCTCTGACCATCGACTAGTCATCTGTAAGATGCGCCTGCCATTCTTCCACTCCGGTGGTGGGTGTACACCCAGGACCCCATTCCAACATAAAGTGGCCTGGTCTCAGTTATCTGATGAAAGTTGGAAGCGAGAATTTCATGGTCGCTTGCGGCTGGGGTTGGCATCGTCCCCGACTCCTCCTGATGTCGAGGGTAAATGGGCGAGGTTTAGGACTGTGACTCATGCAGCTGCAATGGCTGCTTTGGGTACGTGGTCCAGACCTCCCCAGAGAGCCTGGCTGACAGAGGAGGTGTTCAGGCTGGCTGAGAAAAAGCGACAGGCCCACTGTCATCGGCTACAGAATCCCATGTCATAGAATGAGGAGGCTTGCCGCAGCCTTCGCTCGGAGGTTCGGAGAGCCGTAAGGCGCTGCAAGGATGGGTGGTGGTCGCGGGTTGCTGAGGAGATGGAGTCTGCCTCAGTGGCCCGCGATCACAAATCCCCATTTTTAACTCCATCAAAAAAGTAACCTGCAGCGCCTCACCTATTAACCATCATTAGGGGGGGAAAAAACGGTGATCCAATCTCCGACCACCACCAGGAACAGGTTCGCAGATTTTCTGAGCATTTCTGTGAGGTCCCGGGGGAGGGGAAATCCCTCAGCCAGGAAAACATCGTGGCACAAAGTGGGGATGACCCTGCTGAGGCTGCGGTGCCTCAAATATTTGAAGAAGTCACCCCCTGTGAGTGGCTGGCTGAGGTGCCATCTGTTGAGGAAGTACTGAGGGCGATCCAATCTCCTCCACCCCCCTCCACCCCCCAGGAACAGGTTTGCAGATTTGCTGAACATTTCTGTGAGGTCCCGGGGGAGGGGAAATCCCTCGGCCCTGATGGTGCTCATGCAGATGGTAACCGTGGTGGTGGTGGGGGTGGTGGTGGTGATGGTGGTGGTGGTGATGGTGTTGATGGTGGTGGTGATGGTGGTGGTGGTGGTGATGGTGGTGGTGGTGGTGATGGTGGTGGTGATGGTGTTGATGGTGGTGATGGTGTTGATGGTGGTGGGTGATGTTTGCGGTGATGGTGATGTTGGTGATGATGATGGTGGTGATGATGATGATGATGTTGACGATGGTGTTTGTGTTAATGGCGATGGTGGTGATGATGGTGATGATGGTAATGTTGGTGATGTTGGTGATGTTGTTGGTGATGTTGATGATGTTGATGATGTTGGTGATGATGTTGGTGATGATGTTGATGTTGATGTTGTTGTTGGTGATGTTGATGATGTTGATGTTGTTGTTGGTGATGTTGGTGATGATGTTGATGTTGGTGATGTTGGTGATGTTGGTGATGTTGTTGTTGGTGATGTTGATGATGTTGATGTTGGTGATGTTGACGATTATGGTGATGTTGTTGATGTTGGTGGTGATGTTGACGATGGTGGTGTTGGTGATGTTGGTGTTGATGTTAGTGATGTTGACGATGGTGATGGTGTTTGTGTTAATAGCGATGGTGGTGATGTTGATGATGTTGTTGATGTTGTTGATGTTGGTGATGGTGATGGTGTTTGTGGTAATAGCGATGTTGGTGATGTTGGTGATATTGGTGATGTTGGTGATGTTGGTGATGTTGGTGATGTTGATGTTGTTGTTGATGTTGGTGTTGTTGGTGATGTTGGTGATGTTGGTGATGTTGATGTTGGTGATGTTGTTGATGATGGTGATGTTGATGTTGTTGATGTTGTTGATGTTGGTGTTGTTGTTGATGTTGTTGATGTTGTTGATGTTGTTGATGATGTTGATGTTGGTGTTGTTGATGTTGGTGATGTTGTTGATGTTGTTGGTGTTGATGAAGGTAATGTTGATGTTGTTGATGTTGATGATGTTGTTGTTGTTGATGATGTTGTAGATGATGTTGATGTTGGTGTTGTTGTTGATGTTGGTGATGTTTCGTACTGGCACCCATCAACTTCTGAGCCTGTCCAGGAGGTGGGACAAGGGGCCTCATCAGGGCCCCGCAGAGACAACAATTGAGGAGCAGACCACCCAAAACCATGAAGCCCCCTCTCCATCCAAAGTGATGTTGTAGCAGCTGTAACAACATCATTAACATCACCACCATTATCATCATTAACATCACCATCATCATCATTAACATCATGATCATCAACATCAGCATCATCATCACAGACCTCCCAAAACCATGAAGCCCCCTCTCCATCCAAAGTGATGTTGTAGCAGCTGTAACAACATCATTAACATCACCACCATTATCATCATTAACATCACCATCATCGTCATCATTAACATCATCATCATCAACATCAGCATCATCATCACAGACCTCCCAAAACCATGAAGCCCCCTCTCCATCCAAAGTGATGTTGTAGCAGCTGTAACAACATCACCAACATCATCATTAACATCATCACCATTATCATCATTAACATCACCATCATCACCAACATCATCATCAACATCATCATCATCAACATCATCACCATCAACATCGTCACCATCATCATCAACATCAACATCACCATCATCATCAACATCATCACCAACATCATCATCAACATCATCATTAACATCATCAACATCATCATCATCATCATCAACATCATCATCATCACCATCATCATCATCATCACCATCATCATCAACATCATTATCATCATCACCATCATCATCACCATCATTAACATCATCATTAACATCACCATCATCATCATCATCATTAACATCATCAACATCATCATCATCAACATCACCATCATCATCATCATCATTAACATCATCACCATCATCATCATTAACATCATCAACATCATCATCAACATCATCACAGACCACCTAAAACCATGAAGCCTCCTCTCCATCCAAAGTAATGTTGTAGCAGCTGTAACATCATCATCATCATCAACATCATCATCATTAACATCATTAACAACATCATCATCATCACCATCATCATCACCATCATCATCAACATCATCATCAACATTATCATCAACATCATCATCAACATCATCATTAACATCATCAACATCATCATCATCAACATCGTCATAATCATCATCACAGACCTAGCACCCAAACACCCACCCACTCACTCACCCACTCACCCACCCACTCACCCACTCACCCACTCACCCACTCACCCACCCACTCACTCACCCACCCACCCACCCACTAACTCACTTACTCACCCACTAACTCACTTACTCACCCACTCACCCACTCACCCACCCACTTACCCACTCACCCACTCACCCACTCACTCACTCACCCACCCACCCACCCACTAACTCACTTACTCACCCACTAACTCACTTACTCACCCACTCACTCACTCACCCACCCATCCACCCACTCACCCACCCACTCACTCACTCACCTACCCACCCACCCACTCACCCACCCACCCACTCACCCACCCACCCACTCACCCACTCACCCACTCACCCGCCCACCCACTCACTCACTCACTCACCCACCCACCCACCCACTCACTCACCCACTCACTCACCCACTAACTCACTTACTCACCCACTCACCCACCCACCGACCCACCCACTAACTCACTTACTCACCCACTCACTCACCCACTCACTCACTCACTCACCCACTCACCCACTCACCCACCCACCCACCCACTCACCCACCCACTCACCCACTCACCCACTCACCCACCCACCCACCCACTCACCCATCCACTCAACCACTCACCCACCCACTAACTCACTCACTCACTCACCCACCCACTAACTCACTCACCCACCCACCCACTCACTAACCCACTCACTCACCCACCCACCCACCCACTCACTCACCCACCCACCCACCCACCCACCCACTCACCCACCCACCCACCCACTCACTCACCCACCCACCCACCCACTCACTCACCCACCCACCCACCCACTCACTCACCCACTCACTCACCCACTAACTCACTTACTCACCCACTCACTCACCCACTAACTCACCCACTCACTCACCCACCCACCCACTCACCCACTCACCCACCCACCCACTCACCCACCCACCCACTCACTCACTCACCCACCCACTCACTCACTTACTCACTCACTCACCCACTTACTCACTCACTCACCCACTCACTCACTCACTCACCCACTCACCCACTAACCCACCCACCCCCCCACCCACCACCCCCCCACCACCACCACCACCCCCCCACCACCACCACCACCCCCCCACCACCACCACCACCCACCCACCTGATTGAGAGGAGAGAGGGTACACAAAAACACTGGACTGCCTGCTGCTGCAAGCCCATTGGCCAGAGGGCGCCTCTTGCTGAAGTAGCGACCCAGCATGATGAGTGACGGCTGGAAGTTGAGAGCCAGGCCCATGCCTAAACACAGAGACACATAGAGATACATAGAGACCCATAGAGATACATAGAGACCCTTAGAGATACATAGAGACCCATAGAAATACATAGAGATACACATAGAGATACATAGAGACACATAGAGATACATAGAGACCCATAGAGATACATAGAGACACACATAGAGATACATAGAGATACATAGAGATACATAGAGATACATAGAGATACATAGAGACCCTTAGAGATACATAGAGATACATAGAGATACATAGAGATACATAGAGACCCTTAGAGATACATAGAGATACATAGAGATACATAGAGACACATAGAGATACATAGAGACACATAGAGATACATAGAGATACATAGAGACCCTTAGAGATACATAGAGATACATAGAGATACATAGAGATACATAGAGACCCATAGAGATGCATAGAGATACATAGAGACCCTTAGAGATACATAGAGATACATAGAGATACATAGAGACCCATAGAGATGCATAGAGATGCATAGAGATACATAGAGACACATAGAGATACATAGAGACCCATAGAGATACATAGAGATACATAGAGATACATAGAGACACATGGAGATACATAGAGACCCATAGAGATACATAGAGATACATAGAGATACATAGAGATACATAGAGACACATGCCTACACACAGAGACACATAGAGACACATAGAGATACATAGAGACCCATAGAGATACATAGAGATACATAGAGATACATAGAGACCCATAGAGATACATAGAGACCCATAGAGATACATAGAGATACATAGAGATACATAGAGACACATAGAGATACATAGAGATACATAGAGATACATAGAGACCCATAGAGATACATAGAGATACATAGAGACACATAGAGACCCATAGAGATACATAGAGACCCTTAGAGATACATAGAGATACATAGAGACACATGGAGATACATAGAGACCCATAGAGATACATAGAGATACATAGAGATACATAGAGATACATAGAGACACATGCCTACACACAGAGACACATAGAGACGCATAGAGATACATAGAGACCCATAGAGATACATAGAGATACATAGAGATACATAGAGACCCATAGAGATACATAGAGACCCATAGAGATACATAGAGATACATAGAGATACATAGAGACACATAGAGATACATAGAGATACATAGAGATACATAGAGACCCATAGAGATACATAGAGATACATAGAGACACATAGAGACCCATAGAGATACATAGAGACCCTTAGAGATACATAGAGATACATAGAGACACATGCCTACACACAGAGACACATAGAGACACATAGAGATACATAGAGACCCATAGAGATACATAGAGATACATAGAGACACATGCCTACACACAGAGACACATAGAGACACATAGAGATACATAGAGACCCATAGAGATACATAGAGATACATAGAGACACATGCCTACACACAGAGACACATAGAGACACATAGAGATACATAGAGACCCATAGAGATACATAGAGACACATAGAGACCCATAGAGATACATAGAGATACATAGAGATACATAGAGATACATAGAGACCCATAGAGATACATAGAGACACACATAGAGATACATAGAGATACATAGAGATACATAGAGACACATAGAGACCCATAGAGATGGATAGAGATGCATAGAGATACATGGAGACACATAGAGACCCATAGAGAAACATAGAGACACAGAGATACATAGAGATACATAGAGACACATAGAGACACACAGAGACACATAGAGACCCTTAGAGATACATAGAGATATATAGAGACCCATAGAGATACATAGAGATACATAGAGATACATAGAGATACATAGAGATACATAGAGACCCTTAGAGATACATAGAGATATATAGAGACCCATAGAGATACATAGAGATACATAGAGATACATAGAGACCCATAGAGATACATAGAGATACATAGAGATACATAGAGATACATAGAGACCCATAGAGACACATAGAGACACATAGAGATACATAGAGACACAGAGATACATAGAGATACATAGAGACACATAGAAACACACAGAGACACATAGAGACCCTTAGAGATACATAGAGATATATAGAGACCCATAGAGATACATAGAGATACATAGAGATACATAGAGATACATAGAGACCCTTAGAGATACATAGAGATATATAGAGACCCATAGAGATACATAGAGATACATAGAGATACATAGAGACCCATAGAGATACATAGAGATACATAGAGATACATAGAGATACATAGAGACCCATAGAGACACATAGAGACACATAGAGATACATAGAGACACAAAGATACATAGAGATACATAGAGACACATAGAGACACACAGAGACACATAGAGACCCATAGAGACTCATAGAGACCCATAGAGATACATAGATACACACATAGAGATACATAGAGATACATAGAGATACATAGAGACCCATAGAGACACATAGAGACCCATAGAGACCCATAGAGATACATAGAGATACACATAGAGATACATAGATACACACATAGAGATACATAGAGATACATAGAGATACACATAGAGATACATAGAGATACATAGATACATAGAGATATATAGAGATACATAGAGACCCATAGAGATACATAGAGATACATAGAGATACATAGAGACCCATAGAGATACATAGATACACATAGAGACACATAGAGACACACATAGAGATACACAGAGACACATAGAGACACATAGAGACCCATAGAGATGCATAGAGATGCATAGAGATACATAGAGACACATAGAGACCCATAGAGATGCATAGAGATACATAGAGATACATAGAGATACATAGAGACCCATAGAGATACATAGAGACACACATAGAGATACATAGAGATACATAGAGATACATAGAGAGACATAGAGATACATAGAGATGCATAGAGATACATAGAGATACATAGAGACCCATAGAGATACATAAAGACACATAGAGACACATAGAGACCCATAGAGATACATAGAGATACATAGAGACACATAGAGACCCATAGAGATACATAGAGATACATAGAGACCCATAGAGATACATATAGACCCATAGAGATACATAGAGATACATAGAGGCACATAGAGATACATAGAGATACATAGAGACCCTTAGAGATACATAGAGATACATAGAGATACATAGAGATACATAGAGACCCATAGAGATGCATAGAGATGCATAGAGATACATAGAGACACATAGAGACCCATAGAGATACATAGAGATACATAGAGACACATAGAGATACATAGAGACCCATATAGACTCATAGAGATACATAGAGATACATAGAGATACATAGAGACACATAGAGATACATAGAGATACATAGAGATACATAGAGACACATAGAGACCCATAGAGACCCATAGAGATACATAGAGACCCTTAGAGATACATAGAGATACATAGAGATACATAGAGACCCATAGAGATGCATAGAGATGCATAGAGATACATAGAGACACATAGAAACCCATAGAGATACATAGAGATACATAGAGATACATAGAGACACATAGAGACCCATAGAGATACATAGAGACCCATAGAGATACATAGAGATACATAGAGATACATAGAGATACATAGAGACCCATATAGACTCATAGAGATACATAGAGATACATAAAGACACATAGAGATACATAGAGACCCATAGAGATACATAGAGACCCATAGAGAATCATAGAGACCCATAGAGATACATAGAGACACATAGAGACCCATAGAGATACATAGAGATACATAGAGATACATAGAGACCCATAGAGATACATAGAGACCCATAGAGATACATAGAGACCCATAGAGATACACACAGAGACACATAGACACATAGAGACACATAGAGATACATAGAGACCCATAGAGATACATAGAGACCCATAGAGATACACACAGAGACACATAGAGACACATAGAGACACATAGAGATACATAGAGACCCATAGAGATACATAGAGACACATAGAGATGCATAGAGACCCATAGAGATACATAGAGACCCATAGAGATACACACAGAGACACATAGAGACACATAGAGACACATAGAGATACATAGAGACCCATAGAGATACATAGAGATACATAGAGACCCATAGAGATACACACAGAGATACATAGAGACCCATAGAGATACATAGAGACACATGCCTACACACAGAGACCCATAGAGATACATAGAGATACATAGAGATACATAGAGACCCTTAGAGATACATAGAGACACATAGAGACACACATAGAGACACACAGATATACATAGAGATACATAGAGACACATAGCAATACATAGAGATACATAGAGACACATAGAGACACACATAGAGACACACATAGAGATACACATAGAGATACACATAGAGATACATAGAGACCCATAGATATACATAGAGATACATAGAGATACATAGAGACACATAGAGATACATAGAGACCCATAGAGACCCATAGAGATACATAGAGACACATAGAGACACATAGAGACACACATAGAGATACACATAGAGATACACAGAGATACATAGAGATACATAGAGATACATAGAGACCCATAGAGACACATAGAGATACACATAGAGATACACATAGAAATACATAGAGATACATAGAGATACATAGAGACCCATAGAGATACATAGAGATACACATAGAGATACACATAGAGACACACAGAGACACATAGAGACACATAGAGATACATAGAGACACATAGATATACATAGATATACATAGAGATACATAGAGATACATAGAGACCCATAGAGATACATAGAGACTCATCGAGATAAATAGAGATACATAGCGACCCATAGAGATACATAGAGACACATAGAGACCCATAGAGATACATAGAGATACATAGAGATACATAGAGATACATAGAGACACACAGAGACACAGAGATACACACAGAGACACATAGAGATACATAGAGATACATAGAGACACACATAG